CGCCCCTCGCCGGCACCTCCCCCACCCCGGTACCCCACTTTCGGTAATACCTTTCAGTTCTTTGCGGTCCCGGTACCAGCGCAGGACGGCGACCGGGCGGGACCGCGGAACCAGGCAGCTGAGCTCCACCTCGCCGCCCTCCACCGCCTGCTCCCGGACCTCCACCACGGGGTTCTCCGGGGCCACTGCGCAGGGAGAAGGGGGTACGGGTGGGGGTCAGGGGAGGCATCCAGGTGGGTTCAAAGTGACCAGGCTGCGGGATTCCAGGGACCAAAGGGAACAAGGGTCCGACACAGAGCCCAGAGGTCAGGGCGGCCTGCCATGCTGCCCGGCCCAGGTGTGCAGGAGCTTCAGACCTGCCAGGGCCGGGTCTCGGGGTGAGGGAAAGGCGGGGGAGAGAGGAGAGGGGATCGGTTGTTGGAGGGGGAGGTGGTTACCCAGGACTGTGAGCGTGGCAATCTGGTGGTGGGTGTCCTCCGTGTAGAGCTGGCAGAAGTAGCCCCCCTCGTCGTCCAGGCGGGCATCTGAGAGCCGGATCCGCACCCTGCGAGGGGAGAACTCCTCAAGCTGGAAACGCTCGTCCTTCAGGGCTAGAGTGAGGAACCGGGAGTGAACGTGGCGAATCCTGGCCTCAGGGGCTCTGCCCTTCCTCCAGGAGCCTAGAGTCCAGCCCTCTGCCTCTTTTCTGCAGCCATACCTGTTTGTCTAAGGTGCCCACCTGGTTACGCCCTTGGGGACCCAGGATGATTGAGGCCCTTCCACCCAGCTCCATGGTACATGAGGACCCAGGTGTCCAGGCCCCCAGCCCCTTCCTCCCTCAGACCCAGGAGTCCAGTCTCAGCTCTGCCCTCTTTCAGGTCACAGGAATCAGGTCCCAGCCCTCCTCCTTCAAGACTCAGGATTTCAGACCCCAGCACTCACCACGGGTGCCATTGAAGAAGAGGGTCTGCCGGGCTGGATTCTGAATGACAACTATGGACCCATCATACTGGTGCAGACGGCAGGTTATCTCGGCCACCCCACCTTCAGCCACTGTCACGTTCTCTGTCTGTACTTCTTGTCCTGTCCCTGGACCAACAGGCAGAGAGACAGGAAAGGAGCCTCGTTGAGGGCTGCAACTCAGTCTTTTCTCCCTCTCCCTGCTCCTCTCCCATCCAAACCTCCAATCCCTCTCCTTCCCCTCACATTCAGTTTATCACATCCAACATTTCCTGCAGGCGGGAGTCCAGGAGATGGACTCTAATGGGGCTGCACAGGGCACAGTGGGAGCCTAGAGAGAAGGGATACCAAGAATGCCTAGGGACTCTTCGCGAAAGTGGCCAGAGGTGACCTCTGAAAAATGGTTTGCGAAAGTGGTCAGAAGTGACCTCTGAAAAATGGTTTGCTAATCACTTGACCCAGAAAACCTCACAAAATCACGCAAATCAAGAGCTTCAAATCTTCGTGTTCACTTTAAGAACACTCTTGAAACTGCCTAGGCCATCAAGGATATGCACATTCGAAAAGCCACCACGTAGCCCTGGCTGGTGTGCTCAGTGGTTAGAGCATTGGCCTGTAAACTGAAGGGTCGTGGGTTTGATTCCCGGTCAAGGGCACGAACCTAGGTTTCAGGCTTGCAGGCTTGATCCTCGGCCCCGCTCAGGGTGAATGCCAGAGGCAACCGATCAATGTGTCTCTCTCACATGGATGTTTCTCACTTTCTCTGCTCCCTTCCTCCCTCTCTTCCACTGTCTTTAAAAATCAGTGGGAAAAAATCCTTAGGTGAGGATTTAAAAAAAGAAGAAAAGCCACCAAATATCTGAAGGATGTCACTTTACAGAAGTAACGTGTACCATTTCATCATTATAGTGGTGGGGTTGGTAGGCGAGTCCAGGCCAAACAGTGGGGCTGGACACAGGGTCAGTGGCCCAAAAAGAGTGCTGAATTTTTGCTGTACATGCTTAAAAATGCAGCGAATAATGCTGAACTTAAGGATTTAGATGTAGATTCTCTGGTCATTGAGCATATCCAGGTGAACAAAGCGCCCAAGATGCAGCATAGAACTTACAGAGCTCATGGGCAGATTAACCCAAACAAGAGCTCTCCTGCCACCCTGAGATGATCCTACTGAAAAAGGGCAGATTGTTCCTAAACCAGAAGAGGAGGTTGCACAGAAGAAAAAGATATCCAGGAAGAAACTGAAGAAACAAAAACTTATAGCCTGGGAGTAAACTCAGCATAAAATAAATACTAAAAAAAGTAAAAAAAGCCCTGGCCACTGTGGCTCAGTTGGTTGGGCATTTTCCCATACACTGACAGGTTGCTTGTTCAATTCCCAGTCAGGGCATATGCCCAGGTTTCAGGCTCAATCCCCAGTAGGGGCATGCAGGAGGTAGCCGATCAATGCTTCTCTCTTCCCTCTCCCTTCCTCTCTCTCTAAAAATCAATGAAAACATTTTTTTTTAAGTTTTTTTTGTTTTGTTTTTGTTTTTAAAAGACTGTCTAGGGAGATGTATGCTTAGAGAAGGTGCTGGAAGAAAGCTCTATTGGATTCAGATCTTGAGTAAACAGGAGCTCACCAGGTGTGGGAAACTGCTGTGTTCACTGAACCCCATCTTTCACACCTGGGCACATGTTGTAGCTTGTCTGCAGAGATGGCAGACAATTCTCTTCCCTGTCCCTGTACATGCCCTTTGTAAGGTAACTTTGCTGCTCCACCCATTTCGGAGGCACTCAGACCCTGGGAATCTGGGCACGCCTTGTGACTTGCTCTGACCAACAGAATGTGCTAGAAGTGATATTATATGAGTTCTGGAGCCTAGGCCTCAAAAATCCTTGCAGTTTTCGCTCATGCCCTCTTGCTGCCCTGAGACAGTCAAGTGAAGACGCCCAGACTAGCTTCCTTGAGGATGAGAGACTGCAGGGAGAGAGAAGCCCAGCCAATAGCCAGCACCAACCACCGGCCATGTGAGTGAGGCCATCCTGCACCATCCAGCCCCAGTGAGACACCAGGTGACTGCAGCCATATGAGTGACCCCAACTGTGACCAAGAGAAGAACTGCCCAATTGATCCAGTTCAAATCACTGATCCCAGAGTTGTAAGTAAACAACATGATTGTTTAAAGCCACTATGTTTTAGATGGGCTGTTACCCCCCTAAAGTTAACTGGTACAATGCAGGATTAGCCTACATTTCCCAGAGCCCCTTGTACTTAGGTGGGGCCATGTGACTGACTTCTGGTCAATAGGATGTAGGTGGAAGAGAGAAACACCTCTTCCAGACTGGCTCATCTCACTCACATCTTCTTTCCTTTTTTTTCTTTTTTTGGTTAATCCTCACTGGAGGATATTTTTTCCATTGATTTTTTTTTTAGAGAGAGTGGGAGGGAGGGAGGGGGAGAGAGAGAGAGGGC